AGATGGGTTCAGGTCGGGGCCGTCCGGATTGGGGTCAGGTGACTCTTAAGGAGAGGTGGAGGCTCAGGTAACCCGGACTGTATTTAAACTGTACTCAGCTCCAGAAAAACGATTATATCACCCCCAGAAAGATTGTGTCTGCAGAAGACAAGGGGTCACCTTCCCCTGGTGGGGGCCCTGGCTTTATCCATCTTTACTCTCCTAATTTTTACATTTAAAAAATCTGAAGCCAAAAAAATATATATATATTATTACATTGGGTTAAACTTCCCAAACTACTGAACTGGTTTGTGTTGATTTTTTTTTAATTGGATTTATTTAATGTGGATTTATCCATCTTTACTCTCCTAATTTTGACATTTAAAAAATCTGAAGCCAAAAAAGAAATATATATATATTATTACATTGAGTTAAACTCCCCAAACTACTGAACTGGTTTGTGTTAATTTTTATTATTTTTTTAATTGGATTTCTTTAAAATGGATTTATCCATCTTTACTCTCATAATTTCTACATTTAAAAAATCTGAAGACAACAAAAAAAAAAATATATTACATTAAACTTCCCAAACTACTGAACTGGTTTGTTTTGATTTTTTATTTATTTTTTTAATTGGATTTATTTAATCTGGATTTATCCATCTTTACTCTCCTAATTTTGACATTTAAAAAATCTGAAGCCAAAAAATATATATATATATATATTATTACATTGAGTTAAACTTCCCAAACTACTGAACTGGTTTGTGTTGATTTTTTTTTATTTTTTTTATTGGATTTATTTAATCTGGATTAATCCATCTTTACTCTCATAATTTCTACATTTAAAAAATCTGAAGACAAAAAAAAATAATTATTACATTGGCTTAAATTTCCCAAACTACTGAACTGGCTTTGTATTGATTTGTTTGTTTATTTTAATTGGATTAATAAGACAGATCTGACTAAGTGTCTGTGTCATTTAAATTTAATTTCATTTAAATTTGCGCCAATATCTCTGATAAGTTCTCAAATCTACAGTGGGGGAAATAAGTATTTGACCCCTTGCTGATTTTGCAGGTTTGCCCACTTACAAAGAATGCAACAATCTATAACTTTAATCATATGTACATTCTAACGGTGAAAGACAGAATCCCAAAGAAAATTCCAGAAAATCACATCATATGAATTTATAAAAATTGATAACCATCTGATGAGGAAAAATAAGCATTCTTTGTAAGTGGGCAAACCTGCAAAATCAGCAAAGGGGTCAAATACTTATTTCCCCCACTGTATTTGAAAGACAAATAGACGAAATATGAAATAAAGAAAAGGAGACAGCTTCTCGTTTCAGAGGTTAGTCTTTAATTGATCCTTAAACCTTTCCGTCTACAACCGGACAACATAGCTACCATATTGTCAACACGCAAATTACAGTGAAATAAATTAAAACCGATAAGCCTTCTCAAGCCTGTGAAACCAGGTGAATAAAACCTCTCTCTCTCTCTCTCCAGGTGGAGTCCTGGTGGGGGCATGGGGGCCTATTTCCAGCAGCGACAGGTGGTGGTTTCCATGGCAACCGGAAACGGCGCGGACTGTTTACAATTCTTAGCTGTGAAGAAGCCCGACAGTTTGTCACCGTTAGCATGATTTTAAGATGTTGGATTTGCTTAAAAATCGGATGCCAGGCAGTGCTGAGAGAATAGAAACAGGGGCTCAGAGGGAGGAACAAACCAAGAGGGAGGGAAAAGGGGGGGGGTATTGTTCAAGCTCAGTCTGAAAATGTAACAGCATTAGTATCGAATGAGCTTTTTGCTTAATAAAAACCACCATCCTCCCACACCGTCTCACTCCGCCGACACCAGATACGTTATTATTTTTTTAAAGTTAGCTTTTTAAAAATGGAAGTACCAGACGCACGTCATCATTATGAACTGATGAAAGACAGCTCAGCGAAGCCATTCGTGACAAGCATTTTTTTTTTTTTCTTCAAATGTGCGACACTACTCGTTAGGATAAAATGGGGAGGCGTAAAAGAAGCGCTGCAGTTTGATGTTTCGTCACTTGAACGCCCGACCGCTCGCCCTCTGGAGAGTGACGCGTGTTGTGAACTCCCCGGTTCACACCACGACCCACTCCCCCCAAACACCCACAGCATAAATTAACCTTCTGTACAAATGACCAAACACTAAACTGGATATCATACAATAAGGGAGGGGGGGATAAAATAACGTTAAATATTCGGATTGTTGCGACGACTTCTTCTTCTTCTTCATGATGTTGAAGACTTGAGGTATGCGACCAGGTCCTGACGCTCCCCCTTCTTCTTGATGCCGGCAAAGATCATCTTGGTTCCGGGAATGTATTTCTTGGGGTTCTCCAGGTACTCCATCAGGGTGTCGTCACCCCATACGATGCCTGTGGGGAAATTAAAGCAGACGAGGCTTTAAAAAAAGAAAAGAAAAAAGGAGGGGGTTGTGTAGGAGAGAGAGTGTTTTATTTATTTATTTATTTATTTATTTATCTGGTTGTTTATGGCGTTCTGATGTGTATATGTATGTATATATATATATATATTATTTTATATTATTTTTTTCCTTCTGATTTTCTATTTTATTTTATTTTATTTATCGTTTATTTTTGCTTTTTTTGCTTATTTTTGTGAATACTTGTGTGTTCTGTAAAGGGGAGGGTGGGGGTTGCTGGGTATTGTTTTGGGTTGTTTGCATACAGTTGTGCCACTAAATGTGCCATCTTTATACTTTGTACTCTGTATGTTATTGGTTTTAAAAAAGTTCAATAAATAAAGTTGGAGAAAAAAAAGAAAAAAGGAGAAGAAGAAGTCTCTGGACGAGCCAAAAACGAAGCCCGGGCTGCCCGACCTTTGCTCTTGTTGGCGTCTGTGTAGGAGTATCCCTCTGCCTGACCGGTCTTGCGTCCGAACAGGCCCCAGAGGTTGGGCCCCACCTTGTGTTTGCCCCCCTCCTCGATCGTGTGGCACTGGGCACACTTCTGGACGAAAACCTTCTTTCCCTTGCCAACGTCACCCATTATTAGCTGAGGAGAGAAAAAAACCAAAAAACCCAAACCGGACAGTACAGATTAGCAAAAAGACACCAGCTCCAGACACCCGTCAGTTATCATAAAGCTGCCCGTCTTTATGACTTCCACTTTAGACGCGACAGGAAGCTTTACGCTTCCCTTATGTGAAGGTTATTTGAGGCCATAACCCTTCCTGGTTTCAGTCTTTAAGCAACAGGCAAACAAGGGCAGTCATGCCACTCTGTACTGGCCCTCTGCCAGGGTCAATTCAAGGAAACCCAGCAGGACAGGCGTCACAAGAAACGGCCAAAAAGTTGCCAAGTTTTAGCAGTAACTAAGGTTAGCTATAACATGGATGTGAGAGACAGGTTTAACCTAACTCTGGAGAGCCAAGGCTAATGAACTTAAAAGGTGTTTAAACGATACGCACTCTTGATAAGATTACTACGGGGGAAACCTTCTTATAGTACTACTATCACTTTATAAAAGCTTGCTTTACGAAAACCTTTTTTTTCTTTTTCTGTTTTTTTTTTTTTTTACAAAAATCCCCTGTAAACCGATTAGCTTGTCAGATTAGAGGGTTTACATTAAATGTATGCAAAACGGGAGGACCCTAAACGCAACACCAACTGGTTCACCTTCCGAAAAGATATTGAGACCTCTATCGAGTCTAAAGTCGCTTTCCAGTTATATTCTAGTTATATTTAAAAAGCCTTGACCAAAAAAAAACACGACTTTGTGTTGTATTTTGGTAATAAAAAGCTACGGACCTGCTTCTGTGTCTTAAAGGACAGGTGCAGATGTTAGCCCGTACGTTACGTAACTTATAACGGGGTTTTATCATCTTCCAAATGTAGGGAAGGAAAAGAGAGAATGCTGCTATTAAAGTCCTCGAGTTTATATTTTATATCCCACACAACAAAGCTCACTGTATTTGATTTTAGCGGTGGCAAACTAGCTTGCTAGTCACGTCTCCCAACAAGGTTGTCAAGGATGCTTCAATGTCGCTGTCTACATAGAAGACCCCCCTGTTGGTTATTAAATAACCTGGCTTTTCCAGAAGACACAAAAAAATTAATACAAGTCTAAAATAGCGATTCGTCTTTTAAAAATTAGCCGCAATCCCTCTCCTACTACGGCAGAGTTACTTAACTGTTCTGGCTTACGCAAAAAGAGCAGAAGAGCTATTCACCAACATCCCAGCTAACGGTAAACCACATGGCCGTTTCTATCCCTTCTCAAATAAATCCCGGACAAATAGAGACAAATTCACTCTCTAAGATATATCAGTGCAATAGGTAATGTTTCATAGTTACCTTTAGGTTAGAGTATGCTGGGTTACAATAACTCTGCGGTGGGAATGAGATGCCTCTCTCAGCGGAGCAGCGCTTTCTGGCGGGCGTAAGGAAGGTCACTTAGCTTTAGAGGCACCGGCTTTTTACGTCATCAGCGGTCACGTGCCAAAAGATTCCGTATTTCCTTGTGCTGCATTTGTGAACATCTGGGAACTTTAAATCCGCAGGTCAGAAAGCACAAGCGAACCACCGTCGAGTTAAACGTATTTTGTGTCTTTTTCGTTTTCAAATTAATCAGATAAAATGATAATTTGTTTAATAAGTATTTTTGTAAGGAATAAAGCAAATAAAACGTAAAAAAGTAGTGTTTTTATCCAAATATTTGAACTAAAAACTTTGTTTTGAAATATGATGTAAGGATCCTGGTAATATCCGAGTAATATTGAACGTGCTATCGGTCATTTACGTGTCCCAGTGATTCGGGCAGTACCATTTCTTACATTATATCGTCACGTTTTGTAATCCGGTTTATGAATACGTGTTTTATAGGGATACAGAGTAGTATACTTTAACTTATAACATTTTTACATCTAAAACCTTTGAATGTTGCCGGTTGTTGGGCAGTTTAATCTGAGAGGAGAGCTGGTTCTCAGGAAACAAAGGATTTGCCTCCAGCACCTTGTAGCACCAGACGGGACATAGAGCAGGAAAACAGGCACCTGCTGGAATATTCTCCCAGTTTCTGTGGAGTTTAAGATGAATAAAGAATTAGCCATTTGTTTTTATCATTGTACGTACACTAATATACTATTGTGGATGTTTAATATTTCATAAGATGTGATTTCAAGGCCAAAAGGACAATTATGACAAAGATGGTGAATTATAAAATCCTTAATAAATCCTTAATGCCATTGCTTGGGGCTGTTTTACAATTTGTATTGTTGGTTTTGACCATAAAAGAAGCATATCATATAACAAATAAACAAGTCCATTGTCTTCAAATGATTTTAAATGTAATTTCCTGTAGCTCTTTAGTCTACTCAAAGTTGGTGGTAGTGCTTTTATTCATTTTATAACTTTGATTAGCGAGATCATTCAGTCACTAAATGTTTTTCCATTATTCAGAAGGCCAAACCTGAGAGAAATTACATCCTTTAAGTTTATTAACCACCAACTTTTATGATATTTGTTTTTAGAAATGGTCTACCCCCCTGGTCTTTTTGAGTGATTAGTATTTAAGTATAGTACTAAATACAACTTTAACCTTAAGAAAAATTATAAGATGAAGTAACAGGTATAATAAAAGTCAAATACAAAATAATATAAGAGTGAACTGAAAGTGTTTTACCTTGTGTTGAAGGTGACCCCAGTGTCTCAACAGTTAAGGCTAACACTTTTATAAAGGCCGGCTGGTGGTGAAACTGATTACAACTGTATATAAATCCATTTAAAGTACAAATAGAAAGCCAGACAGTGACTGAACTTAAACCACAATCATTCCCTTTACTTATTAGTTAACATCTAACTTCTAACAATCTAATTTCATCCCTTATTTACAGGACGTAATTAAAAAAATAATAATAATTAAAAAGAAAACTTAAAGTTGTCCGAATTCTTTATGTAAAAACAGAAATTACATGCCAAAGCATCCTGTAAATGTTTACTCGTAATTGATCGGATAACTGCGTGAGCATCCTTAATTACATCTGTCAACAGCGTTTAGCAGGTAGGTTATTTCAAGCAACTTTAAGTGTCTTTTGGCTCTGTGTTTAATCCCAGATTGAAACCATCATGTTGAGGTCAGGGCTCCTTAACCCAGACCATATTTTTTAGGACTCATTATTAAAGGTTTTTCTTAAAATATATATATAAAAATCCTGTTAAGTCATGAATAGTGAACTAGATAAGAATGATAGAGATAAGAGCTGCAATAATGACAATAACACTCTTCCACATCCATTTTTTTTAGATATCTGTCATCCAACTTTAAACCAAGTCCAACAGCAATGTACTTTATTTCTATATGGATCCTATTGTAAAAGGCCTCATACCTATCAGATCAGATGTAATAAAAACCTGTTTTAATGAACAAGTATTGGTTGCAAAACCTTTCTGATCTACATTTGGTAACAGCCAGAAGGGCATTTCCCCCACCCTTCTCTACAGTAGATGGCAGTGACTGCAACTCTCCCTGATGCCTGCGGACTCACACTTCTAAACATGTTTAAAATGGGAAATAAAAAAGGGTTGACATTTATCTAATATGGTCTAAACTTAGAGAAAAGTGGAATCCCTTCATTGAGTTACAATTTTATCGTATACAGCTTCTGTTAGAAGCTTGGGAATTCATGTACATGTAAAAAATAAAAATAAAAACTCTATTGTAAGTATAAGTAATTTAGTCAAATTTAATTTCAGTGAGAGAGTGCATATAGGTTACAAAATGTGGCCATGAAGTTGAAAAGTAATAATCTAAAGTGTAAAAGTCTACACAAAATCCACATATCCAAATAATTAAACAAAAAAGTGGGGAACATGAGGGAAATTGTTCAATGCTTGGCTTTGGCTGCTTTTTCATACACTTTTAGTCCTGAACAATTATTATCACCTGTAAATCAATCGCAACAAAGTTCATAATTCAAGGCATGGCTCAGTTTGGAAAAAGATCAAATAAAAATAATACTTATCATTTAAGATCATAAAATGAAGCTATTTGTTCATTTACATCATTTTCTCTCATTGCTTTAGTGGAATCTGGAAAAAAAACATTTAAAATGTATTTAAAGAAACACTTTTTTTAGTCATACAAACACATCGATCTGCTGAACAGACATTGTTTGTGTCTTTCCTCCTAGACTTTGTGTGAACTAATTTCTAAATGCTCTAGTTCATTAGTTTAACTAAACTTTTTACCGGTGCTCATCCTCTTTGGCATCAGTTAGAGAAGTGCATCTGCTTAGCATCACCTGGCAACTGCCCCCCTCCATAATCCCTACGGAATCACATCAGCCACAACGGGCTAGTTTCAGCTCATCAACCGTTACAGTTTAATACGACATTGGTTGTTGTTCATTTCAGGGTGTGTTTCCATAATTTTTAAGTTTGTATAGATTTTGGTGCGTAAATCTTTTTGTTTTTATAAATAGTTTTCAGCAAAGGCAGTTTCTTCCTAACTGAAAAATGAAGAAAACCATAAAAGGACAAAGCACTGAATCGCACGTGACGTTTTGGAAACGCATCCATCAACGGAAAATGTAAACGGAAGTCCAAAATCACAGTTTGATGTAAAATAATAAAGTTACTCAGCCAAACTGAGGGTAACATATGCACACTTGTCGTGGTTTTTAAATAGCATATTATAAGCATATTATAAATTTAGAAATCAAACGGTTGAGAGTTGATGCTTTTAGTTTTAGAAATAACCGTTATTTCACCAAGATATATGAATTTCCGAGGCGTACATGAAGGTTGCACCAACGTCTATTAGCAGTAGCTCGCAGCACGGAGTAACAAAGATGGAGGATAGCGCCACAAAACCAGTGTCCGAAAACGTCGACGACCCTCCCAACAGCCGACTTTTCGCCGTTACGAGTCGGTCTATAACTGAAGATGAGCTTCGGGAGACTTTTTCTAGATATGGGGAAGTTCAGGGGGTTATGGTGGTCAAAGACAAGCAGACAAAGGAGTCCAAAGGCATCGCGTATATTAAGTTTGCTAAATCCTCCCAGGCCTGCCACGCCATGGAAGAAATGCACGGAAAGGCCGTACTGGATGGATCCAAACCCATTAAGGTAGCTAGTGAGTAACAATTACACCGTGATAACTGAAGCAGGAGTTCTTTCAAACGTCCATAGTCCGTTTATTTTAGCCGAAATAGTCGTCTTTTCTGGCTAACATGCTAGCTACAGTAGCCGCGTGCTAGCTATTTTCACGTTCCATTTCCGCTATCAAGCTAGCAATCGTTCATTATTAACGAGTGTTTTACGACTTTGTAACGAACCATGGTAGTTTTTTTTTACCCCCACAAACATCTCAGAGAACAAACAAGCATGCAGTTTCAGTATTTAAAAGCAAGACATTGATTTAGCTTAAAAAGCTACAGTGTCGTTGTCATTGTGCTTTTCAGTGAGATGAATCTGGTCAGAGTTGAACCTGAGGTGAGATAACAGGTTTAACTCACGTGAGCTTTAGGGTCAACAGATTCAGTAAAGGGAAAAAAAAGATTAAATAAATATATATATATAATCTGGGTTTGTTTACTTTTGTGTGTACAGTGTCTCTCTTAATGATTAAATCCCAGTAGTGATGCAGACATAATGTGCTCCTAGAGCTGATGAAAGACACTGAATTTATCTTGATCCACTTTAAAAAAAGTAAGGGGAGAATAAATGAGGCGTGTCTCACCTCAAGCAGGTTTGAATGTGGACTGGAGTCTCTTAAGCTGTAGAACACCTTTACCAAAATGTGAATGATCTGTGAAACACATATATATATATATATATATTATACTGCCTTGATTTAATTTTGTTTGTACATGGAGGATTTATTAAAAGGTCCAGATAGAAAGTCATAACTTATAGTGCGTAGCTCTGTATTTATTAATGTATGCTGCTGTGATGACCAGCTTCATTGTGTAAACTCTGGTGTCTCTCTGGTTGTTTGTGCAGGTGTTTATTGCCCAGTCTCGAAATTCATTCAGACACAGAGATGTTGAGGACGAGGAGCTGACCAGGATCTTTGTCATGATTCCCAAAACCTTCACAGAAGAGGACCTAAAAAACACATTCAAAGTAAGTACACCCTTGTATAGCTTTGTGACCCACTTCAATGAATATTTATATATAGTTTAACATAAAGCTGCCATTAAAGTTGAACAAAAGGACCTAGATTAAACAATTTTTGTCCTGAAATATGGTGCCAAAGTGAAACCCAGTCATAAACGGCCATAACAACCTATGATAAGGGGAGTGATGACCTTAAAGCCCTGATAATGGCTTATCAAGCCCTCATTTGTTCCTTTTTATTGTGTCTTTCAGGAGTATGGAGATATTGAGTATTGTGTGATCATCAAAAACAAGTTTACAGGGGAAAGTAAAGGACTGGGCTATGTCAGATACTACAAACCCTCCCAAGCCGCCCTCGCAATCGAAAACTGCGACAAATGTAAGTTCCCACCGTGTTTTATCATCGTGTTAGCATCGTTTCCAGCCATTAGGGCGTCACATTGAGGCTTTTGGTGTGTTTAGCCTACAGAGCCATCTTGGCTGAACCTCGCAGCAAAACCAACAACTCGGAGGAGTACACGGCCGGAGCAAACCGGGGGGAGTACGCCAGCACCGCCGACTCCATGAACCAGTACTCCTTCCCCACAGGTACGCACGCCTCTCCCTCCTGTTTCAAATCCAACACACCCCACAGCCCCAGGAGGATTCTCATGTTTTAGCACTAGGGGTGTCAAAAGTATCGATACTCAAAAAAGTATCAATACTAAAACGTTGTATGCGGATACGATACTCCTTTTCAATAGTATCGATACCCCCGCACCCATTCTTTCTGACTTATTTATTAATGTTGTTTATTATCATTAATGTGTTGTTGGCATTGAATTGCTAGCTGCGGCTAATGGCTAATGCCAACATTAATGTGGGCCACTGGCCACCATAACATCAGTAAAAGGTCAGTTTGAAACCAAAGACACTAACCTGTCAAAATCCAGTTAAATTTCGGGCGTTTTGTTTTTATCTTTGTGGTATCGAAAGTGGTATCGACTATCAAATATTTTCCTGAGTATCGGTATCGAGCTGAAAATGTTAGCATCGTGACAGCCCTAGTTAGGACAGATGAATGAGGTGTGTCTCGGTGCCACCTGTGTTGTTTCACCTCCACTGACCTGAGCCTGCCCCCCCCCCCTCCCTCGTTCCAGCGGACCCCGTGAACTACGGGCAGATGGACTACCGCTCCGGGGAGTACACCCGCTGCCTGATGATGTCCACGCGGGCCGCCCTGACCCAGGAGCAGATCTTTGCTCTGTTCGACATCATCCCTGGCATGGAGTACTGCGAGCTGCAGAGAGACTCTTACGGGATGAGCAAAGGTGAGCCGCAGCTGCTACCTGAACCCTACGTTTCCCACCTCTAAGTCCCAGATATCTCCTTAGGCTTTTTTGTCAAACGGAGAGCAAACAGACAACAAACTGACCTCACATGGCTGGTCTGGCATGTCCACGTAGTTTGAAGACCCAAGTAATGAATTAGATTACCATGAACATGTTTCTCTATTAAATTGCTGCACTATTAAGCCCAGTCAACTTTACTTATAAAGTACTTGGGTTGAACTTGAATGCTAAATGTATGACAAATTTAAAATGCTTCCTGAACCCTACATTTCCCACCTCTAAGTCCGAGATATCACCTGGACCTCATCGTCCCCGAATTAGGCTTTTCTGTTAAACGGGGAGAGGAAACCCTTTGGAGCCCCAAGTTTGAAGACTCAAGTAATGAATTAAATTAGCATGAACATGTTTATTTACTAAATTGCTGCACTATAAAGCACTTGGGTTGAACTTGAATACTAAATGTAGAAACATTTTTTTTTTAAAAAGCATAAAACAATGTAATGGAAGGAGAGTCTGCTGACAACATTACTAAACATTTTCTAATTCCTTAGTTGAACAGTCCAAACAGTTAATGAACCTTTCCCTCATCCCTCACATGGCACATGTGATAAAATTAGCTTTAGAGGTTCGGCTAGTCCCCCAAAATCAGATAGAACTCCTCTGAATACCTCTAAGTACCACTAGTCCACATGGGGTTTCTTAAGGTCATATAATGCTATTCGGAATAAAATCTTGACTTGAATAGAACTTGTCTAAATTAAAGATTTTCCTTGAAGATAAATCTTTTAACTGAGTTAGTAATTCTGCTTCCTAAGAACCTGATCGTTGAGTCAGATGATCGAATAGATGCTTTGTATGTGTTTTTTTTTTCTTTGAGGTGCCTCTAAGGTGACCGTCTCCTCCTAAAACTCTCCTCTCTGTGTGTGCTGCGTCCTCAGGTCATGCTTTGATTCGCTACAGTAATCTGGGCTCAGCCGTTTACGCCAAGGAGAAGCTGAATGGCTTCGAGTACCCGCCCGGTAACAGGCTGGTGGTCAACTATTTTGACGACGGGGAGGATCACAGCAGGTACAAACAAGCAGGGATACACAACAAAAAGCTGTGAGGTGTACCAAAGCTGGCCCTGAACGCTGACCCAGAGCTCCCCTGTGCTCGCCTGAACTAAACTAGACTGGTCTGTCTGCCAACATAAGCCGGAGTGGCCTCCACCTGAGGACTCGTTTTAAAACACTCTGGTGGCCTCAGCCATGTTTAATCAGCTCTGGCCTGGACGGTCCCTTTTTCCCCACAGAGGAAGTGGGGCTACCAGGGTTAAAAATGTCCCGATCCAGCTTTTTTTACTTTCGATCCGATACCGATCCCGGCCTATCAGAGCATGTGTTAAAGTTTAAAGTTATTTATTCTACTCGGATAGTTGTCAGACTCATGTTGAACAGGGATTTACTCTGATAACAACTTAATGGTTAGGACACAGACCTGTGGGTTAGCAGATGCTAATGCTAATGTGGGATCGGACTATAAAAAAAACTGGATCTGGAGTCTGGATTAGAGATGACCCGATCAATCTTTTTGCACTTCTGATCCGATACCGATCCCGGCCTATCAGAGCATGTAATGAAGTTTAAAGTTATTTATCTACTTACTTAGTTGTCAGACTCATGTTGAACAGGGATTTACTCTGACAACAACTTAATGGTTTGCTAATGCTAATGCTCGTGTGGGATCGGACTTTAAAAAAAAAAAAACTGGATCTGGAGACTGCATCTGCATTTTTTCCTGCTGGCCGATATGCATTTTTTTTGCAAATATCAGGACCAGCCTGACCGGAGGTGGGCAGCTCCAGGCCTCTTTGGGCTGCTACACCCCAGAATCACATAAACACGACATCATTAGGCCTGTGCAGAGCTGAATCGTCTTTAGAAGGGGTCAGTTTTATTTGACTCTGGTGGCAGGAAACCTCTAAAAACCAGCAGGACTGCGGCCCAAAGAGGCCTGAGCCTCACGGGTCGCTTTACCCTGCAGCACCTCCCACATTTACACAGTTTGAATAACTTATTTTATTTTTTTGATAAAAAAAAATTCAGAAATCAGTACGTTTAAGTTCCAGTACAACCCGACTGACATACATAACACAGCAGGGCTCTGCAGGACCCGGTAGTTCCTGAGGTAGCGGCCAATTATCATGGCGCAACACTTAAGGTCATTTTGGAGCCAATTAAGTAATCTAATGTAATCTAAACTAATCTAATCTGATCTAATTAGGAGCTAAAAGCTGCTCAGGATGCAAACATTCACACATGGCAGAATTTCACACCTGTTGTGCTGGAAAACTAAAGCAGGTTTTGGCCGAGGCAGCCGGACTATCGGAGAGCTGCGAAGTTTAGTCCTTTCACACCCTCTCTGCCTCTCATCAGACACTCCGACTCTGTCTGATGAGTGTTTTCACACCTTTCAACAAACAGGACGCAAAGATAACTGTCAGCTGTGTTTCTGAAGGCACAAAAACCTGCCGGGTCTCCACTAAAGTCCACTTCTGACAGTTATCACTCCTAAAGTTGTCCAAGTTTTAAAAAATCTGTATGAAAAAGTGCACTGTAAAAACAAAACAAATGCATTTTAATTAGAAAGAATACCCAATAAGTAAGTAAAGCTTCATTAGCCTGTTGTGCACTAAACACCAAGGCAAATTCCTTGTAAGTCTGAAAACCTACTTGGCAATAAACCTGATTCTGATTCTGATTCTGATTCTGATCAGGATCAACCCTGACCTGCTCACAGTCTGCCCCCTAGTGGCCAAAGGGAGGAACTTTGAATCAGTAGAGGCTCATGTTAGAGAGCATTTCATTACTGAGCTTATAGGATTCATAGATCTTTTTTTTGTACTTTTAACAGAAGTAGTAGTGAAGAGAGAGATGGTTTTCACATAAAAATCCAGATGGACTCTTCTTATTTGCAGTGTCCAAAAAAACAAACAAATGACAGACTTTCTGATTCTGGTATTTTCTCACAAATTGTGTGTAAATCTTTTGTTCTTGGACACAGTTCAGCTTGTTTAATTTTGGGTTTTTGTGTGTGATTTTGTGTGTGTGTGTGTGTGTGTTTTTAGCCCCGTGGGTCGGATGGCGATGCAGTTCGTTGCCACCCAGATGATGTCAGCGGCGTGGAACGGGGGGGCCTCCACCAGCCAGGTGCTGCAGCCTACTGTACGTACAGAACCTTTCTTCAAAAACTATCTGTTCAGAATAGGGATGTCCCCATCCGATCCCGGCCTATCAGAGCATGTGTTAAAGTTTAAAGTTATTTATCTACTTACTTAGTTGTCAGACTCATGCTGAACAGGGATTTACTCTGATAACAACTTAATGGTTAGGACACAGACCTGTGGGTTAAGAGATGCTAATGCTAAAGCTAATGTGGGATCGGACTTTAAAAAAAACTGGATCTTCATTATCTCCTGCTGTCCGATACGCATTTTTTTCGCAAATATCGGCGGCTGATCCAATCCAAATATCGGATTGGGACAAGCCTAATACTTATACATGTTTGGGATTCCTAAAATCTGTCATTTTGAATTAAGAAAGTTTCTGGATTGTTTGTAACCGGAAAGTTTCCAAATGCTAATGCTTGTTTGGGATTGGACTTTAAAAAAAAAAAAAAACAGGATCTGGAGTCTGGATCTGCATTTTCTCCTGCTGGCAGACACACAGTTTTTTTGCAAACATCCAGATATCGGATCGGGACAGGACTAGTTCAGAAAGAAGTTTTTGTTCCAATCCAGTGACCAAGTCATTCCAGATGTTTTTGGGTGGTAACGGTGTCCCTTTTCCTCCCCAGAGCTACACGCCCATGACCCCAGTGTCCCGCGTTCAGACCGACGTCACCCTGCCCCCCCCGAAGAAGCTCGCCCCCCCGGACAGCAAGTCCAAGGAGCGCCTGTTTGTGGTTTTCAGCCCCAGCCCGCTGCCCCCCGACGTCCTGGAGGACGTTTTCGGGTAATTTACACAAACGTAGCGAGAAAAAAAGAGCATCCTAGAGGCCAGATGTGACCCAGATGTGCTCCTCTCTGTGTCCCACAGCCGGTTCGGATCCCTCATCGAGGTGCATTTGGTGCCGGGCAGGAAAGTGGGATACATGAAGTACGCCGACAAGCAGGTAAAACTGGGTCTGGGGCTTAAAAAGCACCTTAAACAGTTTCTCAAAAGTTCCCAGGCATGCACTCACTAGTTTTATTTTTGTAATGTCATTGTCTGAACGTGTTTGGACTGATTTTGTATTTTGTGATTTTGTGTTGTTTGGTCTTCCTGCCTCAGGACGACAGATGTAAACTAGCAACTATGCTAGAATCTGGCTCATTTACAATCTGTATGAGATTGTTCATTAATGTGCACTGTCCTGATTAAATAAATAAATAAAACCAGGTCTGGGGCGGGTAAAGTAACATAGAAACAATGTTTAAACATAATTACGGTAACTAAAACACAAACCAAAATAAGGGTTGTCACGATACTAAAATTTTGAACTCGATACCGATACTCAGGAAAATACTCGATACTCGATACCATTTTTGATACCACAAGGATAAAAACAAAGACCCCAAAATTTTACCTAATTGTGTCTTCCATTTCAAACTGACCTGTGACTGATGTTATGGTGACTGGTGGCCCACATTAATGACCCTAACCCTAACCCTAACCCTAACCCTCCAGCCTTCATAATTGGGGAAAAATAAATATTTTTTGGTTAAACTTGTTTGAACATATTGTACAAACCGATTAAACATACACTATTTTAACATAATATGTATAGAATTTAATTAAGTGTTTGAAAGATGAATTTAACTATTTTTAAATGAATGTCTATATTGCCATGAAGCAATTAGGATTTTCTTCGATGTGGGCGGAGTTGGATATGTACTTGATTAATGTTAGCATGTTATTATTAGCCATTAGCCGCAGCTAGCAGCTAATGTCTTGTTAATGATCATAAACGACGTAAATAAATGAATAAATAAATCAGAAAGAAGGGGCGGGTAGTATCGATACTTTTGAAAATGAGTATCGTATCCGGATACAGCATTTTAGTATCCATACTTTTTCGATCCCTGACTCTCTCGGTGTGCGTTTCAGTGTGCGGACGAGGCCATGGCGGCGCTCCACGGGCGCGTGGTCAACGGCGTGAAGATGAAGGTGATGCTGGCCGACCCGCCCAGAGAGGAGTCCCACAAACGGCCCCGCACCTACTAGACCACGGTAAGTGATCGTCCTCCATCAGGGTTTAATAAAAACACACACCACATGGGAGCTGAACCCCACATTAGCTCCACGAGCTCAGATAAAGGAGGAGGGATGATCTAATACAGTGTTTTTCAACCACCGTGCCTCGGTACACTAGTGAGTGATGGTCAGGTGTGCCGTAGAAAATTTCACCTAATTGATCTAAAAAGATTTTTTGATAAGGAATTAATTATCTGAAAATAATACGCCATTTTTGAGTGTCTGTGCTGTTCTAGTGACTGGTGGAGTAATCATGTAATAATTCCTTATGACTAGATTTTGTATATAATTTTGTATATTGAAGTGGACATGTTAAGAGCAATTTGAAAGAAGAAATATAAAATATGATAAAAATACATTTTTGTGTTTATTTGATTCCTATTCGAGACACTTAAGATAAGATAAGAATAAAATAAGAATATCTATAGTGTTACTATAGGCCGCTACAGATTAGTTTAGTTTTGGTTTTGGTTGGTGGTGTGCCTCGTGATTTTTTCAATGAAAAAATGTACCTTGGCTCAAAAAAGGTTGAAAAACACTGGAATAATAGATGAATCAGATCTCTACGGCCTTTAGAGCCCTCAGAGGGATGTTTAGAGCCGTTTCTGATCAGTTTGCACGTTTGACCTGCTCTGTGATGGCCGATGTGTCCTTTCCTGTGAGTAACATTGCAGCTTCTTGTTCCCTAGGCGACTGTTGTCATGACAATGACACCTGACCTGACAGACCGACAGACATCAACTCCCCCCTGACCGACCTTTGACACCTGTCTGACTCACTGCTAGATCAGAGACCGCTAAACGAACCGTTAGGCTGTGAGCAGCATCATGTGCAGTGAGTAGCCCCTTCTCTTCTTTTGTTTTTGTTTTTATACTAAACTCTGAATGATTTTAGGAGCACGCTGTTTAACGGATGTTTGATTTAAAGTTCCTGTGTGTGGCTGGGATTGGTGGTCCACAGGCTAAAAGTCGCCAAGAAGATCTCAGATGATCCTGAACAGTGTAGTTGTTGCTCAATTTTGTTCCATTCAACTGTGTTCATTTTTAATTTCTTCCCTGTATAATAAAAATGATTAAAGAACAGTTTGAAGTGTGCCGTCTTCTTTTTTTTAGTCTTTTAATGCCTGATCCGAGAAAAATAGGAAGAATATTGGATTTTTTTAGTCTGAAGTCTTTCTACACACATTTTCCTCTTTGCATCTTTAAATTCTACAACATTTACTTTGAAAACAGGTGTCATTCAAGCCAATTCCTAATAAAAGTCCTATATTTGTTCATATTTCCAATTATTTCCCTACTTAATTAATTATTCATTTAGGATTATCATTACATTTTAAGGCCTGATCCAAGAAAAACAGGAAGAATATTGGATTATTTTAGTGTGAAGTCTTTCTTTGGCCCCTCAACATATAAAGAAAAAAAACAAATTATTTTGATCAAATTAGCGTGCAATGAGTCAAAAATATATGTTGGTGTAGTGTTCTACTGGCTGTTATCAGGTGTATCTGAATGTGTACAACAGGGGTTTGAGCAAAGCTTTTACCACTGAATGATGCAAAAAGTCTCAGATCCAAAAGACTTCAGAAACCGTATCGAATATGATACATTTGGCATTATAGGGTTAATGGTGATAATGAAACTGTTAAATACTAACCGGGAAACAAGGTCCTGTACTTCAGCTTTATGGTAACAATACAGGTTAAATGATTCAATATTTTGTAGAGCCGAATTGCTCAAACTGGTTTTTTAAAGGCCCTGTAACAGGAGCAGTCCCTAAAACTCACTGGTGACAGTTTCTAACAAATAAATGTGGCTCAAAGTGCTCAAATTAAGAAAAACAAAGGGAAATTTAACAACCCCGAACCAGTAAACTGACACGGCTGCAGCATTCAGACCCTTCAAACCTGATTCAGATTAGTGTCTCCAGCTTTTATCAAAAAAAAAAAAACAGAAAACGAAGCCATATTCATGCTCGGTTTAAGAGCCGAATAAATTCTGTTTTTAAAAAAAAGAAGCCATATTCATGCTCGGTTTAAGAGCCGAATAAATTC